GCTCTTAGTTTTGGCTTAGCAATCTGTAGTACTTTGGAATATGATAAAATAAGAGGTTTAAGATAAGATTTTCTCCTTTCATAATAAATATGAATATAAAAAATTGACAATAAAATCTATTTTTGTAGTCACATTTTATATGGTGACTTGCTTTCAGACTTACGAACCTTTTAGAAATCAAATAATAACATTCTGTTGAGGCTGCACATGAAAAAGGAACCTTTCTACATTGTTGGTGGGAATGTAAACTAGTACAACCACTATAAAAATCAGTATGGAGATTTCTCAAAAAACTAAAAATAGAAATTCCATCTGACCTAGCTGTTCTCCTTCTAGGTATCTTCTTGAAATAGTTGAAGACATATTACAGTGATCCATGCATACAATGCTTATAGCAGCACAATTCATAAAAGCTAAATCTTGGAAGCAGCGTATATGGCTGAAATAAATGGATACAGAAAATGTGGTATTTGTATACCATGGAGCACTACTGGGTCATAAAGGATAAATTCAAGTCATTTGTAGGAAAATGGATGCACTTTTAGACTATAATGTTAAGGGAAATAAATCAGACACACGAGCTTAAATATCACATGATTTCTCTTATGAGAAACTCAAATTGTAAATAAAGAACAAAATAAAGGAGAGATAATAGGAAGGAAGTACAGAAATATCTTTCTCAAATGGGAAGGGGATCAAGAGATAGAGGGAAGGGAGGGAAAGGCAATTAAAAAAGGAATTAAGGGCCGGGGATTTAGCCCAGTGGTTCCGTCGCTAGTTTGATCCCCGGTACCAAAATAAAAGGAATTAAAATGTACATGCACCAACTCCCCACAAGGAATGTAAACGTTATGTACTACATACATGTACTAATTAAAAATAAATGGTAAAAAAGAACCTTTTCTAGTAATTTTTTCCTATTTATCAAAAAGGCTAAGTAAATACTTTAAAAGATTGTGCAAGAGCCCTTAATCTAATTTGTGGAGTTGACAATCAAGGTATAATTTTTTTCTACAAGTGATTGTTGAATTTTATGGTGATGAAGGGAAGATAGAATGTATAATGATATAAAAAATAAATACAGTATGGAGATACCTCAAAGAACTAGGACTGGAAGTCCCATTTGACCCAGCTATTCCCCTGCTGGGAATCTTCCCCAAAGAATTAAAAGAATCATACCACAGTGGTATATGTGCACCCATGTTCATAGCAGCTCAGTTTGTAATAGCTAAAACTTGGAAACAGCCCAAATCCCCATCAACTGGAGACTAGATCAAGAAAATGTGGGTTTTGGTGGGTTTTTTTGATAAAATGGAGTACTTCTCAGCCATCAAAAATGAGATATTAGGGACATTTATTGCTAAATGTATGCACATTGAGGCAATACTCTTAAGTGAAATAAACAGGATGCACATGTGTAAATACTGAATACTTTCTCTAGTGTGAGAAACTGAAAGTTTAAATAAGGACTAAAAGGTATAAGAGATAATTTGAAATAGGAAGAAAAAGGGCAAAGCGGAAGGGGAAGTGGGAGGGGTAGGGGAAAGGAAAGAAGGGAATGGAATTAATATGAGAAAATGAAAAAATGAAAAGTCTTTGTAAATAGGGAGGGATGGAGAGGTTGAAAGGAGGGCAGGGGAAGTGGGAAAAAATAAGAACCAAGAGAGTATGTAAAGGTGCATGTCTCCAATGATGAATGTCATTATATTGTACACCTAAAATACACCAATAAAAGGGTATACAAAAAAAACCACCCACACACACAAAAATAAATAAATACAGACAATAATTAAAGAGGCATCATCTTTAGTTTTTCCCATTCAGGTCAACAGCCACAGTTAGAAAAGTTTAACTGGATGTGGTGGAGCACACTATACCATCACTTTGGGAGGCTGAGGTAGGAATATTGCAAGTTCAAGTCCTGTCTAGGCACTTTAATGAGACCCTGTCTCAAAAACAAAAAATAAAAAAAGGGCTGGAGATGTAGCTTAGTGTGAAGGTGTTGGATTCAATCTCTGGGACCAAAAAAAGAAAAACTTTTCTGTACTGCAAGTGTTTGCCTGTGCTTTATTTATGACCTACTGACCATTAAAAATTACTATTGTATATTTTTAACCTATCAATTATCAGTGTCTTTTTCACAATAAATATGCAAATTGAAACATTAGCACCCATTTATTTAACATCTTAGAAGAAATATACTTTGCATATACAGTCATCTTTCAGTGTCTGAGCAGCATTGGTTCCAGGACCCCTGTGGATAACAAAATTTGAGGCTGTTCAAGGTTTTTATATAACATCTGTAGCAGGTAGCATTTGCATAAAGCCTACGCAATCTTCCTATATACCTTAGATCATCTGTACATTACTTATAATGCCAAATACAATGTAAATGCTATGTAAATAATAGCTGTTATAGTATACTGTTTAGGGAATAATGACAAGAAAAAGTCTGTACGTATTTCAGTACAAAGACAACTTTTAAAAGTATTTTCAACTTATAAGTGCCTAAATCTGAGGATGCAGAGCCCACAGATATGGAGGGCTGATTCTAGTGAATTTCCTAAATAAATTAAATCTTTTCCCTTCAAATTCTGAGACTTTTTAAATACCATTTTCTGAAACCTTTTAAAAATATTTTAAACATATTCCTTATTCCTTAAACTAAAAGTTCAAACTCTCCTTGCTGAGATAGGGTTAATCATTTTCCTATAATGTATAAACAACCACTTTTGTCAGAATTTAAATTTTATTTGATTCTATCTTTAATTATCAAGCTACAAAAAGGCCTTTGTCACTGGTCTGGTGTGGTGATTGTACAGATTCAAGTAAGCCCTACTCCCCTTTCTTCCTTCAGTCTCCTGAGTAGTTTTATTATTAGCCCTGAACCCCACTCACCTAACCTGTTGGAGCTGCATGCTAGATTAGATTTTATGAAGGCTCTAAATGAGGGTGTGAGGAGTCAGACTTGCATGTGTTCCTAATGGCCACTTTGTTTTCTCATCTGGAATATAGGAATAATGAAATCTACTCCAAGGAATGGGTATGACAGGCATGGAAGAAGCCAACTGAAATGGGCCTCTGTGCTGCCACTGTGAGATGCCTTTGTGGCCACAGTTGCTGCAGGTCCTACTGATACATGCTAGATTCTTTTATTTATCATTTTTCAAAATGATATATTGATTTCTTAGTACTTTCCAAAGGTGAATAAAGAGAATTTGTGTGTGTGTATGTGTGTGTGTGTGTGTGTGTGTGGTATTGTTATGAACTCATGGATTTAAGCCATTGCAGTTATCTTTATTTGATGATCAAATTTTTCCATCTCTGGCCAGTGAGAGTTTATATACAGTAGGTAGGCCCTTGAGTCTTTTTGATAGAATTCTATTAATCTCTGAGAGCCTCCTTGTTTTCTGGTATGATTCAATGTTCCATCCTCATCTTATACATTTTCTGCCTCAAATATGAAAGAGATCAAAAGCCATGGTTCACCAGAGTAGAAATTCAAAGTTTAGAAATCATGATCTGGGTGTTTAGAATGCTCATTGCTACTAGGTAGATTCTTCTAAGCCTTTTCATTGAACAGGGCAAAGAAATATTTTTTGAGATAAGACTATATCCAGAGATCATACCAATAATTCCAACTCATATTTAGGACTACAGAGTTTTTATATAATCTTTCTTATATTTGTATACCTTTATCCCCATGCCAAAAGTTCTGCTTTTCAATGACACGAGCCTGATTACTCAATTGCTTTATCCCATACTACATATGTAATAACTTCAGGATAACAGCACTAGTACTAGCACCAACTAAAAGATTGTTTTAAAAATATGTTTGCATTTCTTGTTGTCTTTAGGATATATACCATTAAAAGTGAACTATCAAATTTCAGGGTTTTAAAATCATTCTGAATAGTTTTTTTCTTCAACCACTTGTATATATATCTAGATATCATTTGTTTCATATTACTAATCATATCCTTGTGCTATTTTCATTCACACTAATATTCTAATTAGCATTCTACCTTGGTTTAATATTTCTTTCTGTAGTCTGCTTTATTTTATTTATTTATTTATTTATTTTTTTGGTACCGGGGATTGAACTCGGGTCCTTGCACTTGCGCAGCAGGCTGCGAAACCACTGAGCTAAATCCCCGGCCCGAGTCTGCTTTATTTTTTAATAATGAGAAATATAAAAATAGTTACTAAGATAACATTTGAAGTAAAAAAAGTATAGATTTAAAAATAGATGTATACACGCATATATTTCTATACTCTGGAAGCTGAGAGATCCTAGAAACAATAACATTCCAGTAGCAATGAGCCCACATAGTGCTAGGTCTTGGTTTCTAATATCATTCCCTAATAAAAGGGACCAAGGCTTTTTGGGGAAATGGTTGGTTCGAAGGCTGGGCCAGAGGAAGAAAAGATGAGCCTAGAGCATTTTATAGTAATCAGATAGTAAAGAAGTGCTCAAACACTCACATATATATGCATGCACACACCCACACACAGTGGTGGGGGGATGTGAAGGGGAACAGGAACTAACTGAAATAGCTACCAATAATCATAGCTAGAATAATTTGACCAACAAAATAAATAACATAGTATTGTCCTTATGTCAGAAATGATAAAATATATCTATGAGTACACACTGATATGAATAATAAATAAATGGGGATAATAAACAAATCTACAGTGCAGAATTCCAATTAATATAGATACTCTACCCTCAGAAAAGTAGAACAAAACTTCTTACACCTTAGATGTAGGCTATGCATAACCTTCCTTCCAATAAGTACAGTATGGAAAGAGGAGTGAAAGAGTAACTTTATAGTGGAGAAACCTGACAAACACCTCCTCACCTAAGGGATCAGATCAAGATCAGTGATCAGTCATGTTGTGTGTGATGACCTACACACATTTTATGAATAGACCTGGTTAAATATCGGATGTCTGTACTTAGATATTAATAATTCTTTTCTTGTGATTTCCTACAGGGTTGGCTGCTGCCAAATTATTGTCTGAACATGATCTTAGTGTTTTGGTTTTAGAAGCCAGGGACAGAGTTGGAGGAAGAACATACACTGTGAGGGTAAGTGATTTTACTATTTATATACAATATCTGACTCAAAGCTACAGTTAGGGCCCCTGGAAGTCACAGCACTGGATATTTTAAGCATCCAAGCAGTTAAGCCATTTGTTCTCCATAACCCTAACATATACCATCAAGTAAATGATCATTCTCTTCAACAAGCACTCACTGAAGAGAGGCAGCCTCTGATCATCAGTTGCTTACATTCTAATGAAAACAACAAATGAGAGTAAAAACCTTCAATATGGTGTCATTATTTCTGAAGTAGAGACCTAAGTCAAATGTATATATGGCTTGAGGGTTATGCCTGGGCTATATTGGAAGTGACTGTATACCCCCAGCACACACACACACACACACACACACACACACACACATGCACATGTATATGCATACACATTTGTTGTGGATTCCTTGTTCTTATCCAACAGTACATGGCTTGAAAGAAATGTGGCCACAGGAATCAGGAGCATATGTTTATGCAATTTTCCTTTGTCCTCTTTGCTCAGGTCAGGTATCACTAGATATGAGAAGGAAGTGAATTCTTGCTACATCATTGCTTTGTTATACTTGGGTTTATATCACAGTTCTGGAAAAATGCATGCTAATTATCCTTTACTACTAATGTGTTTGCAGGTGAATCTCTGGGAGGATGAAAGTACACAGGAAGAGCATGTAGGGTGGGAAGGAAATAGAACCAAAGATGAAAGTTTGGGAAGCCTGCAGATGAAAGGGAGACAGAGGCAGAAGGAGCCAGAGAGAAGCCATAGAGGGAGAAAAGGAGGACCAAAGTAAAGTAGTGTTATGCCAGTCAGTGGAGGAAAGAGGAAGGGTCAAATGGCACAGGACAAAGGCAGAAAAGACACCCCTGTGTTCAGTAGTTAGGAAGTCACTAACGAGACCCTTTGATAGAGCATGCAGAAAGAACGACAAAGGCTGAGAATTGGAAATAAAAATCTAGACAGTTGAAGTGGCTGGAAGGAGAAAACAGCTATATAAGATGTTTTGGTTAGAACAGTAACAGAATAGCCTAGGCAATGATAATAACAATGGCATAGGCCATTTACTCATTAGAAAATTTCACAGAAAAAGTCTGGTGGTAGATAGTCCAGGCTGGTGCAGAGCTTCATCTTTGTCCTCAAAGTTTCAGGCTCTTGCTATCTTGCTGTGCTATTCTTTGCATGTTATCTTATTGCCTTCTGTTAATAAGATGAATGCTGTTATTCTGAGCATCCAGTCTTCATTCAAGGCAGGAAGAATGAAGGAGCAGCATCAACCTCATTTGTGAAAAAGATTTCGTTTACCAGAAGACTGGCAGATATTTGCTTTTCTCCCATTGGGCAGATTTGAGTCACATACTACCCTAAACTGGAAGGGAATCTGGGAAAGCAAGTATTTAACGTTTCCAGGCTGCAGAGTAGAAGCAGGCATGGGAAAGAGAATCTGATATTGCAATAGCCAACTAACAACACCTAGTATAGTGTACTAGCTCTTTCAGTCATACCATGGCAGGCACACTTTCTATCATTTGCATTCTACCTTGTCATATATATGAGGTCTTAAGCCTATTTCCACTTTTCTCAGCTCTAAGAGTATTCTACAGCCGTGCTACTCAATTATAATCTATGCACCTACAGCTTTAGAAACACCTGGGAACTTGATAGAAATGCAGAATGTAGACACTGTCCCAGACTGGCGGAATTTGAATTTCCAGTTTAACAAGATCCTCAAGGGGAAAACACAGAAATGTTACTTTGTGATGTATGCATATCTGCTTGCTTTAATTTAATGTCAATTCAGATTAAATTTATTCAGGTAATTTCTGTGTGCTTTCTTGGATGTATTCTGCAATTGGTCTGGGAGTGAGGAGACTGGTATTTTAACCCCTGTACTGGCCTGACACACTGTCTTGGGTAAGTGCTACTAGCACTTCACATCCCAGTTCTCATTTGAGTAGTAAGATACAGTTCAAATGCCCTCCAAGAAACTCTCTCCATTCAAATTCCAATTGAAGGCATTGTGTGGTGTTACACCAAGAAGGGTTGCATGGTCCACTTATATGCCTTTAGTAGGTTTGATTCTTATGTCATTTTCTGAAAATTTTTAGAAATACTTATCCCTTCATTTTGGACATAGTTATTAAGTTGTCCCTTAGCCCTATTCTTCTTATCTCTAAAACCTTTTGCTCATTGAATGGGAGCATCAGTCATGTTGCAGATTTCCAGTTAATAACAAGTTTTTTTGTGTAAGGGAAATTAGAATTCCATCATGCTTATCCTAATCTATGTTATTGGCTTAGGCTACTTAGCCATGCCGCATCGTTTATACATGTCAGCACTAGACAGGAACGATTACCGGTTAGTGTATATTCAGCATGATATTAAACACTCCTTAGGTATATGAGAAAAGGATCTTAGAAATGAGCACTTAGCATTTATATTTCAAATGAGTAGAAGGAGAAAAAGAAGGCTTTAAGAAGAAACAAAAATAACATTAGTAAGAAGCTACATTAGTCAGCTTACCCATTGCTGGAACAGAACACCTTGACACCCACAACTTCAGGAGGTCAGCTTTATTTTGGCTCATGTTATGAGAGGGTCTATTCCATGATAGGCTGTCTCCCAGGCAGGAAAAGCATGGTGGAAAGGCCTGGCGTAGGAAAGGTACTCAACCCATGGCAGTGAGCCAGGAAGCAGAAGGCAAGGGGAAAGAGCTGGGGACAGGAATACACCCTTCCAGGTCACACCCCCAGTGACCCATCTCTTCCAACCAGGCCCCACCTCCTAACAGTACATTCAGCTATGAACTTATCAATGGATTAGGGAATCCACTGATACGTGTAGTACCCCCATAATCCAATCACCTTCCAAAAGCCCCACCTCTGAACACGTGAGACTGGGGTGGGGGTACATTTTAGACTTAAACTGTAACAGAAGTGTAACCAAATATTGTTAGAGGTGCTTCTAGAAGCATAATTAATTAGAATAACTTTTGGAGGAGATGCCACAAAAGCTATTCTGGATCTCTAAGTACCAAAATGTCAAATTTGGTATTGTCACCTGACAGCTGTTCAGATGGATCTTTCATTAGTTCACAACTCCCCGATTTTTCCTAATGTGATCTATCCATAATGCTTCAGATTCAAATTAATAAGTAAAAATGTCCACAGGACCACCACAAAGTTGGTATATTTGTTTCCTAATATAGTTGCATGTCTGTGGACTTTTTGAAAACTGAGTAATGAGATCTAAATAAAGGACCTAAAGAATGAGAAACAGCATAGCAGTCTTAAACTTCTAGTATCTTCACACTGAATCTAAGGCACCTCATTTAGAATATTTCTGCTTTGAAAAGAAACAATCTGTATAATCCTTCACTGTTTTTACTGCAACCTCATGAGTGTCATTTTTCTAAATACATCACGCTTGGAAACTCTCTCAAGAGTCCTCTTGGTGTCTTTGTTAGAAAGCCTAGAAATTTATCAGAGAACTGGCTCCAGTTTTGCTCTCAATCTTAAAATGGATGTTGGAAATTACAGGATGTTTGGAGGGTAATATTGATGATTAATAAAAGAGAGCATTAGGATTATGATGGACAGATTAAAGAAATCAAAGAAACACTTCATTTCTGCTATTATGGAAGAACAGAAACCCTGAATAACTATCCCCATTGAAATAAGTAAACTGCTGATTAAATAGACTATACTGAACTGAGAGAGAAGTTAGAAATTTGTAGATCTTCTAGATGTTTAAAAGACATCTTAAACTCAACCATCTCAAACTAAACTTTTGATCTTCCTCACTGACTCCACTGCTCCAGCAGCCTTCCCCAAAGTAGAGGATGGCAACTCCTAAAACATTTGGGATCATGCTCAGCACAAGGCCCATGTTCTTTCTGTCAGGAAATTCTGTTGGCTTTGTCTTCAAAACATACTCAGAATTCTGTACTTCTCACCGCTTCTACCGCTACCTTCTGTTGGGATCCACTGTCATCCATAGGCCAAATTAGTTCAATATTCTCATGATTTCCCTATTTTCGTACTTGATCCCTATAATCTATTCTTATTTCAGCAGCAGCAGCAATAGCAAAAGTGAGCCTTTCAAATCTAAGTCAGACTTTAAAACTTACCTGCTCAATACCTTCCAAAGGCTCCCCTTCTCACTCACAGTAAAAGCCAGTGTCCTTACAATGCCCCATCAGATTTTACCTGACCTGTCCCCCTGTCACTCATGGCCTCTCTAACCTCATCGCCAATTCTATTTTCCTTGCTCACTTTGTTCTAACTACATTGGCCTCATTGCTATTTCTTGGGCATGTCAGGTACACTTCTGCCTTATTCTTTGTATGGGCTCTTCCTTCTGCCAGGAGTTCTCATTTTCCAGAGTGGATAAATTGTACTGAAATACAGAGATTACACAAATTGCACTGTGTGTGCATTTACACATACACACACACACACACACACACACCCACCCCATATCTTCAAAGCATCAGAGAACCTGAAAGCTGACAAGGTAGTGAAGAATCATTGAGCCAGTATCCAGAAAGGATTGACCTATCTTTCCTTGGGCGGTAGGAGGTTGCTGACCATTGAAGAAGCTGCCGAGAGCTGAGCAGCATTCTTAATAGTCTTGGAATGCTAGGCTGATAGAAGGTCAAATCCATAGCCTGGCAAAGTGTGTGTATGCAGGAGATTTTGGTCAACTCCCTGATTTGGGTTGGGCTGCATTTTAGGATTAACAGTGAACTGCAAGAGGGCTCAGTCACATGTGCATTTTAGCCCAGCTTCAAATTATCTCAGTCACTGTAAAGGAATAAATTTACCAGTAGTATCGTTAATGTCCCAGGTGCTAGGCAGAGGCAAACAAATTTTCTCTGAGAAAGGTATCTCCTAGGATCCAAATTATTTCTACATTTTTTCAAGTACAATGAGTTCCACACAATAAAAAAATAATCAGACAAGCAAGGAGAAAAGGCAACATGCACACACAAGAACTGATATAAATAGAAAAAATAGAAATATACTCATTATAAGCTGGGTGTGGTGGCACATGCCTGTAATACCAGTAGTCTGGGGGGGTGCAGCAAGAGGATTTCAAGTCTGAGCCCAGCTTGGGCAATTTAGCAACTTAATGAAACCTTGTCTCAAAATAAAAAATAAAATAAAATTTAAAAATCAAGCGTTAGGGATGTTGCTCAGTGTGAAGACCCTGGGTTCAAACCCTAGTACCACAAAAATAAATAAAAAGTTATTACAAAAATATGGAAGAGTTGTAACTCACCAGTATTTAATTAAACGTGTTTAATAGAAAAGAAAAAAGTTGAGAACTATGTTTAAGAGGGGGAAGAGAATAATTTTATTTTTAGACAGTGTCTTGTTTTGGGTTCAAGTGATTCTCTTGCCTCAAACTCCCAAGAAACTGAGAATACAAGTCTGTACCACCATGCCTAGCTCAAGAAAATAATTCTAGTTTATGAAAGAGAATTTGCATATTTTTAAGTAATTTAATGGATGTATGATATTTTTGTATCTTTTAATATTCTTTTCCTATGAGGCATTCTTTTCTGGAAGTATTTTAAAATATTAAGAGCTCATCATTGCAGGGTGATTTAAGATTTTGTGTGATGGAAATCAGGGAGCTAGGCCTAATAAATCTCTGGATGGCTTCTCCAGCAATAACTCCAGAGAAAAATTATACATAATAATGTAAATATTGCAAAGGATCTAGATCAGCAGGATGTACTACAGTGCTCTTTATTCTTTATGTGTCCTATTGCTGAATTGGCCTCACTAATAGCTCTGCAAATGGAAGTGATTAGTGAAGTGATTAGTGAAGTGTCAGTCAGTGTTGTGCCCCAGTTCTTGAGGGAAGAAGAGATTGCTCTTTTCAGTTGCACTTGATAAGAAAGCTATAAGACACAGTTAAGTTTGCAAAACAGGGTCTATTTTTATAGGACATAGAGACATTTTGTTTCCAACTTTCAACTAGTCTTCTAACCATTTTTTCTTTTTCCAGAATGAACACGTTAATTGGGTAGATGTTGGTGGAGCCTATGTGGGACCGACCCAGAACAGAATCTTGCGCTTGTCTAAGGAGCTGGGCCTAGAAACTTACAAAGTGAACGTCAATGAGCGTTTTGTTCATTATGTCAAGGTAAGCCTGACTTTTTACCCAGCTGACTAGTATGGAAGCATTTTATTTGAGAAAGCATTTGGTTTGTTTTTAGTTATTGTGTTTTTCTGAAAGTAATTACAAAAACATTTTCTTGGCTTTAAAGTAGTATTCCACCTCGTTTTCTTGATTAATAAAAAATTCTAAGGACTTCTTGAATCTCTGGAGGATCTTATCTGGGCTTGATCCTCCTGTCTTTTTTTTGCCCACTATTGTTCTCACCAATTGTACCCCCACTTCCCTTCTTAATGCATTTGCAGGGCATAGGGGCTAGAGGTTCCTGCTGTGCATACACACACACACACACACACACACACACACACAAACACACACATCCCTAGCCCCAGGCAACCTGAGTCACCTATGAGACAATGCTAAGCTTCCAAAGAACACAATTGTTTGACACCACTTCTCTAGCCTTTGAACTGGTTCTTCCTCTTCATTCTTACCAGCATTTCTTTGAACACTTTGATCATTTCCTCTGTACCTGGCTTTGATTGTTGAGAAGTTTAGTGCAGTTGTGTGGTTTTTCTACTGTTTAAACAAGAGATTGTTTAAACTGGAGCTGCTCGTATCCATCTAAGAAACAGCAACTGTTACCACTGTTATTCTTTCTCGTGGAACCCAAACATGAAGTGGCTAGAGTCTGGAAACCTGCCTTAAGAAATCAAGTTTCCTATCTGTCATTGCAGTCCATTTCCTGGAATGAGTGTCACTAAGGCAGAGGCCATTTAGTCACTCTAATGGTAGGATTCTCATGCCACTAACCATAACACTTTTCAACAAAAACATCTCCCACTGATTCTACTGAAGGCAGCCACTGTAAGTCTGGAGGCTACAGGGCTTTTTGGAATATCCTAGGAGTTAAGGATACTTGTGATGCATGCATACTGATGTGATCAAGAAATCAGGAATCTTGGCAAACTCTGATAGCCATGTCATTCTCTATGCTTGGAAAGTGGCGGCTTGACACATATAAAAGCAAATCTGTAGCCTTTAGAAATACTATGGGCAGAGGTTAAAGGAGAAATGAAGAAAGTATAAAAATTAACTGGCCATAGTGTTGCATGTCTGTAATCCCAGTACTCTAGGAGGATGAGACACAGAGAATCACAAGTTTGAGCCTGGCTTTGGGCAGTTTAGCAATTTAGCTGAGACCTTGTCCCAGGATGGGGTAGAGTAAGGTAGAACAGGGTAAAGTAGGGTAGGATAGGAAAGATAGGATAGAATAGCACAGGATAGCATAGCATAGGATACCATAGGATAGGATAGCATAGCATGAGATAGGGTAGCATAGCATAGCATAGGATAGCATGTTATAGGATAGGGTAACATAGCATAGGACAGGATAGGATAGCATAGCATAGCTTAGCATAGATGGGCCCGGGATATAGCTCAGTGGGAAGACTCTGAGTTCAGTCCCCAGTACCTCAGGAAAAAAAGTGGCAACTTGGGGTATTTCTCAGTGGTACAACACTTGCTTAGTATACATGAGGCTCTGAGTTTGATCCCCAGCACTGCAAAAAATATATATACAAAGTGTTTAGGAATGTTGGCTTTCTTGTGCCATGATGAAAAAGGAAAAAACACTTTGCTTTCTCATTTTCTCTTTCTGCACAGCATAGTTTTTCTTTAGGCTAGTAAGGAATAACAGCAGTAAGAATAATAGCAGCTAACATTTAAATCATTTAATATTTTCATATTTAATTTGAAGAGGAAGACAAAATTCTTTGCAGTCAACTTCTAATTAAATGGTCATAGAAATTCACTCTCCACTCCTACTGAGAAGCAAAATGAGTATGATGATTATCCTGGAATCTGAGCAGACCCATGCTTACAATCAATTCATCCCCTAAAAGTCAGGCTTTATTTTACCTGAAAGCTAACAATAAACAACAGCTGAACACTATCATGCATGAATTCATTAAATTCTTACTTCTACCCCACTAGGCTGGCGGGATTATTCCTATGTATAGATGAAAAAACTGAGGTTCAAAGAGGTAAAGTGACATGGCAAGCCTATAAAACTAGTAGCAGTCTACTAACTCCTGAATGTGTATTCTTTATGATCCCAGTACATTGTCTATGAAATGAAATTGTAGGTCCTAAACAGAGGCATACTGGATCTCCAGTGTTTGACCAGACACATATCTATTTTAAGGTATCCCATTATTAATTTCACTGAAGCCCAGCTCATACAACGACCTTCTTACTCTTCTTCAAACTCTGTTTTTTATGCATATTTTGAAAACTGTGGAAAAATTGGAAATGTGTAGTATGACCTGCTAGTGTCCCAGCTATGCTCATTCAAAACATGATGCTAAGGTGAAAGGGGCACATATAGGCAGCTTTGGTGAGTAATTCAACTCCTTGTTCTCAGTAGAGGCAAGGTGGGATTAAAATGAATAAGTGCTATTTGAGAATGTTTACTTTGCCTGAAATTTATCAAAAGATCATGGCATCTTGTCCAACTTCCCTGACAGGATCTTAAGATCTTATCTTAATTTTCATTAGTTAAGTAGTGCGCTTTCTGATGTCTGTGGAATTTTCTGGGCTTCATGAAAAACCCTGCTTTCTACAAATTCAGGTGTGAACATTTTGTACTTTAAGAGGGGCTTGCTTCCAGCTTTTGTAGGGAGTGAACTGGCAGAAAGTCTTAAGAAAACATGATGTACTACATTAGGTGCCTAAGTTAAGGAAAGAGACATGTTAAGAGCATCATCTAGGATAACTTTCTTTGTTGCTGCTGCTGCTGTGTCTTTCTCTTAGTTAGGTCTGTACCATCCTTGATAGTCATATTTCTAAGAAAAAGCACAGTTTCACCTTTCTGGAGGTAGGAGCTACTCAACTCCTACCATACTTTTCTTTCATAAAAACACAAATGTGCATAAACTGTCACATATAACCTGCTGGGCAAAGGCATCTTGTAGTATTGGACTTGGTAGCCTGAGGCTGTTTTCAAGAATATAATGATTAAACCCCTGGCTCACTGCTATTGCATGGTCATGCACATCAACACAATAGTAATATTAGGTCATATTTATTTTGGGTTTTTTTTTTTAGATAGGGCCTTACTATGTAGCCCAGGCTGGCCTCAAACTTGCAGTGATCCTCTGCCTCAGCCTCCCAAGTGCTGGGATTACAGGCATGGGCTACCACATCTGGCAGGTCATAATTACTGAACATGTAGCATGTGAAAGGTTTGGTTCTAGGACTCATGCTTCACTTGTACTTGGAATAACAACTTTGAGGAGAAGGGTGTTGAGTCAGAGTCTCACTATATAATTCAAGCTAGCCTTGAACTCACTATGTAGCCCAGGTGGCCTCAAACTCATGGCAATGGTCCTGCCTCAGCCTCTCGAGTGCTGGGATTACAGACTTGTGGCACCACGCCCAGCTACAAATAATACTTTTAAACTTTTGCCACAGTTGATCCCTTGAAGTCAGTACCACTGTTGGAGTAATGATAAGGATAACTTTCCTTTACTGAGCTCCTAGTATGTTCCAGGACCTTTGCCAGGATCTTCACCTTCATTATCTTACTTAACTCTGTCAAGAACTCTAACGCAGGGTCCATGGCCCCATATCACAGAAAGGGTCTGAAGTTCAGAGGCTAAGTAACCTGCCAAACACATAAGTGCCACTGAACTAGAATTCAGATCAAGATCTTTCTGTTTTCCATGCTGACTCTTGCTGTTAGATTCCAGTGTCAGGGCCTATGGACTCCATGAAGGTTATAGTTTGTGCTTGTACTGGTCCTCTTTAGCAGTTCTCTTCTAAGTGTCATCCTGTGTCCTTCGTTGTGTCCTCATATGCAGTGTAGGTAATCGTCTTGCTTAGGCTTTTGGCTTGAAGCAATATTTCTGTTATAATACTTGGTGTAGTAGGTGTTTTTAGGGTGACCAGAAAACTATAAATAGAGGAGATGATATTAAGGAAAGGAGGAAGGTATTTAGTTCAGTGTTCCAGATAAGATTGTTAACAAATAGCATAGTTAAAAATTCATTTATTTAAAAATATCTCAACTCTCACTATTCGCTCCACTTCTTGGAGGAAATAAAGGATTTCTACAAAATGCTAGTATATTGGGTTAATAATACAAATTGTCTTTGTGACACTGTGTTCTGCCTTGTGACAGTCCTAGTTTCCATAATTTAATACAGTCACTGAAATGACTACAGTGAAGATTTTATGAATATTGTGATTATATATTATCTTTGAAATTAGTATAAATTTATCACGTCTTTACCTAAGAGGTGGATTTAAAATGGCATCAACTGAATAGGTTTAAAGCATTTTCAGTTGATTATTTTCTTTTGAGTGGTAAGGGAAGCAGCTGAGCCTACTGGATTTATTACTTGCAATAGTAAATAAGATGCTTCATCATTAAGTTTGTTCTATACATGAATTTCATTGAGTTGTGGTGACCTTTCGTTAAATTTCGTTGTGCCAAGTCTTGGAGAGTACGGAGGAAATGCTCAATCCTCTCTTTGAGTTCCTCAGATCGTAATGCATTTTGGATGAAGAGTGTGAAGAGGGAGAACCCAGCCAGAGATAGAACAAGGCTTTTTACAGGAACTGCTTTGAATGGGAAATTAGCGTAATCATGTATTCTTGCTGTTTTGTTCTTTTCACATCCTCTCTGACTAAAACTAGAGACTATAAATATGGATCACACATTTGTTTTTGGAGAGTTGTGATAAAGATTTATTTAAAACAACAGAGCTTTTCCTGATATGTAGTAACAGCTCAGCAACCATTTTTTCCTTAGTATTGGTTCTTTTCTGCCCACAGCCATTTAATCCAGGTTTCTATCCCATCGCCTGAAATAAAAGCTTTTCAGAATATGCGTGTTCTGGAATACTAAGTAAATTTTGTTGTTGCTATGAGATTGGTTTTAGCCAGTAGGTCAACCTTGAAGGTAGAGTATGTGTTTTTTGTTAGTTTGTTCCAATGCTCACCAGATATAACTGTGTGTTTGG